CTGCTCCGGCTGGCACCAAGGTAAGGATGCCAGTGGGGTGCAAGGGGTCATGCGTGGCGGGGGGGGCGGGGTTGCTCCCGGCTTAGCTGGGGTCTCGCTGCCCCATTATGCCCAGACACGTGGCTGCCGGAGTGGAAACCGGAGTGTTGCAGCCTGGATTTTAAGGAAGGATCAGCCATGGATGCCATGAGGAGGGTCCTTGGCTGGTTTTGTCCAACTGGAACGGGACAGCTGGGGACCAAGCAGCTGGTCCCCCAGCTCCCTGGGCCAGTAGTCAGCTGGATGGCTAACAAAGCCCCTAGCCAGCTCAGATCCTCGTTGATGCTGCAGAAATTAAGTGAAAATAGCTGGGCTGCCATCACATAATGAACCTGCCAAGCTGGAGAGGAGGGGGTGGGCTGGCTGAGCTCCTGCCTGGCTCCTTCAGCCCTCAGCCAACACTGCCTAATGCTTCATTAACGACGGACCGCGTCCCTGCTGCTTCATACCTGGGTGTAAAACCCAGCCAGGTCCCTGCGACGGGGAGAGGCAGCTCCCCGGTGACGATGGCCCCAAGATGAGGCCAGCTGTCACCCAGCTCCAGGACACGCTCCTTCCCGGTGGCACGGGTTAGGTAACCCGCTCCCACCGCACAACAGCACAGCTGGTGACCTTTGCTGCCGAAATGTCAAGCGTAAGTGATTTCCCCGCAGCGTAAATGATCCTCCCCCGGCTCCCTGCTGCCGGCGCGAGAGGTGGCATGGGCGCCACTGCCCTGCCGTAGCTTTTAGGGGAAGCATCTCAGTGTGGGGACATCACTCTGTGCTGGGGGACTGCCTCCCACCGTAGCATCACCCAGCCTGAGCGACTGCACTAAGCCCCTCCTGCACTCACAAAAATCCCCGCCAACCCCTCCTGCCTCGGCGTCAGCCTGAGTCAGCCCCCAGAGATGTTTGCAAACTCCTGTCTCGGTGCTGTCGGTCCTTCCCACGTGTACGAGGAGCCTGGCAAGCATCGCCGGTCACCCTGGGAGGCTGCCGGGTGCCAGCCTGCAGACCGATGGCGCTGGGCGTCAGCCAGTGGCTCTGGCCAACAGCCGGCCAGGGCCGCAGGTGCCCCATCGTGGCTTGGTGCAGTCTGGGCTCTGTGCCGGTGCCTTTGCTGGGGTCACCGTCAGCCTCCCCCCCCCGCCGCAGGTAATGGTGGCCCTGAGCACGGAGGAGCTGGCACGGTGCAAGAAGGCGCTGGCACGCACCGCCCTGGCCGGCCGCAGCTTTTCCTCACCACATGGGGAGCTGGATGCTCACCGGCTCTGCCGGGCCCTGGAGAAGGTGTCACAGAAGAGGAACAAGTCCCTGGAGGGGCAGCTGGACGAGCTGGGACCCCGGGGACGACGACTGCAGCCCAGTGCGGTGGAGTCAAGTGCGTGCTGGCTCCTGGGGGATGAGGGCGGTGGGGATGGAGCTGGGTGCCCCCTGCATCACTGAACCCACGTCTTTGCCGCTGCCCAGATAATCTCCTCTCACCCACGCACCTGGACTGGGACATGCTGGTGGAGCCCTCCTACCTCTTCAGTGCCTCACCGGTGCCCGCCGAGCCGGGGGAGCCAAGCCTGGGCGATGCCAGCCTGCCCCTGCGCTGCCAGGTGGTGATCCACGCGTTACAAGCCGGCAAGCCGGTGTCCTGGGAAGTGACGGCCTCGCTGGAGCCGCTGCTGCAGCCCCGGGCA